TAAATTGAAATAAATTGAATTAAATTGAAATAAATTGAATTAAACTGAATTAAATTGAAATAAATTGAATTAAATTGAAATAAATTGAATTAAATTGAAATAAATTGAATTAAATTGAATTAAATTCCCAGGGAATTCCCGGCATTCCCAACTCCTCAAATTCCCGAAGAATCCCCCTCGGCTCCGCCATTCCCGAGGAATCCACCCGGGAAAATCCGGGATTTTCTGGGAATTTCTTCCCAAATTCTGGTTTTTTTCCTGGGAATTTTCCAAGATTTCCCAATTTTTCCTCCATTCCCGACTTTTCCTTCCATTTCCGTCCATTTTTCCATCAAAACCACCGCAAGTTCCCGATTTTTCCCATCAAACCATTCCCAATTTTCCACCAAAATTCCCAAATTCCCGCCTCGACTCCCCAAGGCTGAAAATTCCACCAAAAACCTTTGGAATTTCATCCCAAAAGGGAAAAAAATCTGGGAAGAATTCGGATTTTCCGCTGGGAAAATTCCCAAAAAAATGAAGAATTCCAGGATTTTTTTTTTTTTTTTTTGCTGTTTGGAATTCCCGATTTTTTATCCCAAAAAAAAAAAAACAACCCCCAAAAATCCCGGGAAAAATTCGGAATTTACCTGGAATTTCCGGCGGCGAGAGACTCATGGGAAATCCAAAAACTTGGGGAATTCCGGAGCCGGGAATTCCATGGGAATCTCAATTCCCGAATCCTGGAAAAAAGGGAAAAATTCGGGATCATTTTGGGAATTTTTTCCTCACGGAATTCCGGGATTTTCCGTCTCAATCCCAAAAAAAAATTCCGAGAAAAAAAAAAAAGTGGGAATTAAAATTTTTTTGGGGGATTTTGCTCGTTCTGGATGGAAAAAAAATCCCGGGAAATCAGAAATTCCTGGAAAAATGGGTGGGGTTAAAGGAATTTCCTCCTTTTTTTTTATTTCCAGGAAAATCCCTGGAATTCCTCGGTTTTGCCCAAAAATTCCTGGATTTTCTCCATTTTTCCATGAAAATTCCTGGATTTTTTCAGTTTTTCCATGAAAAATCCCCGATTTTCTTCATTTTTCCAGGAAAATCCTGGATTTTCTCAATTTTTCCATGAAAATTCCTGAATTTTCTCAATTTTTCCAAGAAAATTCCAAGATTTCTCCATTTCTCCAGGAAAATCCCAGATTTTCTCCATTTTTCCATGAAAATTCCTGGATTTGTTCAATTTTTCCATGAAAATTCCAAGACTTCTCCATTTTTCCATAAAAATTCCTGAATTTTTTCAGTTTTTCCATGAAAATTCCCAAATTTTCTCCATTTTTCCAGGAAAATTCCTGGATTTTTTTCAGTTTTTCCATGAAAATTCCCAAATTTTCCTCCTTTTTTCCAAGAAAAATCCCAGATTTTCTCCAGTTTTCCATGAAAATTCCTGGATTTTTCCAGTTTTTCCATGAAAAATCCCCGATTTTCTTCATTTTTCCAGGAAAATCCCGGATTTGCTCCATTTTTCCATAAAAATTCCTGGATTTTCTCAATTTTTCCAGGAAAGTTCCAGATTTTCTCCATTTTTCCATGAAAATTCCAAGATTTCCCCATTTTTCCATAAAAATTCCTGGATTTTCTCAATTTTTCCAGGAAAGTTCCAGATTTTCTCCATTTTTCCATGAAAATTCCAAGATTTCCCCATTTTTCCATAAAAATTCCTGGATTTTCTCAATTTTTCCAGGAAAGTTCCAGATTTTCTCCATTTTTCCATGAAAATTCCAAGATTTCCCCATTTTTCCATAAAAATTCCTGGATTTTCTCAATTTTTCCAGGAAAGTTCCAGATTTTCTCCATTTTTCCATGAAAATTCCAAGATTTCCCCATTTTTCCATAAAAATTCCTGGATTTTCTCCATTTTTCCAGGAAAATTCCCAAATTTTCCTCCTTTTTTCCAAGAAAAATCCCAGATTTTCTCCATTTTTCCAAGAAAATTCCCAAATTTTCGCCATTTTTCCAT